GTGATAAAGGCTACTGTTTTACTACTACTACAATCATATTTCTAAACGACTGCTGACACACTCTCAAGAGTTTTGGTATTAACCTACCTATTATAAAGAGATGAAAGTTTTGGGCATCGAGGGATATGTTAGGTACCTCCATTCTAGAACCCCCCGAATTGCATTGGAAAAATCGAGAAATAACACAAGACATTGATGGCCATTTAGCAACTAGCTCATCGATTTTCCTTCTCTATAACATGCAACCTTTTTTTTAAACATTAAAATAGTATTTTAAAGCTATTGCTCAGATCTAAGTCTCTTAGAACGAATGTCTCATTTACTTGCATTTTCGCCGTTCTTATAATATCGGACGGACACGAGTGTAAATGTATCTTTAAGATACCCTATAAAACCCAAGACAGTGACAAACGCTATTGCAGTTGCAAAATGTCCTGATAGATACACGTATATGAGGACGGAGTTAGAATGCGAAAAACCTCGAGACTGCATGAAAGGCCAAGTAGATGAAAGTGGTGCAGAGGAACGTGCTCTATGTGCTGAATATTTTGAGAGAAATGTTGCGCAGAAAAAACGATGCTGTCCAATTGGTAAGCGCATTGTTTTAGAATAGGTAATAATGTGATTATCCGTTTTGTAGTGAAAACGTAATATGAAAAAAAACATTTCACAAAAATTAATGGTATAACCAATAAATTTGATATAATGATTGAGAAAAAGCGATACTAACAGGAACAATGGCAGTTTTAGTTTGCATCAAAATACTCGACTTTTCATTATTCCCATTATTTATGGTTAGCATAACGTAGAATGCATGTACATCTCAAAAACATACCTATATGTTTTATGAAATTCATTTTATTTGACAAATGTCAGAGACTTTTTAAAAACAAATAGTGATTTTGTGAAAAATTTGGAAGTTTTAAAATGGTAATGTCGTGTGTAATGGTTAATATCAGTAATCGATTTGTTGGCCTATCAGCCTATACATCTAATCAGTATTTTAAATTTTCGGCTTAGAAATTACATGCGACTAAGAGGTTTT